CTCCACCCCGGGCACCCTGTATCCGGGGCCTGGGGGTGAGCGGGCCGGCTCCCTGCTGGCAGCGGGAGGGGTTTGGGGCGGCTCCAGGACAGGTGGCCGGCGCTCGGGACTCCAGCTTGGGGACTTCACCTGGAAGGGGCTTTCCCAGGCCACGTGGGGTGCGGGCGGTGGGGTGCCCAGCGCCCTGAGACAGGATCCCCTTTCCGCGCAGGAGGAGCCTGCAGGTCTGCTTCCCCACCCAACACCGGGTGAGGGCTTTAGGACGCACCCCTCCCCATGAGCTGGGCGAGCCCCCCAGCCCCAGGTTAAGGTTGGGGGTGGGTCCCACGTTCTTGGGCACCTGGCATCCAAAGCCGAACAAGGTGGGCAGGCAGCGGGCTGGGCCTGCGGGGCTCACACCGCCCTTGCCTGGGACTGGAACCTTCGGAGGTGCCCCGGTGGCACCCATGTCCCCGCCTGGCCTGACTGTGAGGTCTGACTCCGGGAGCGGGTGCCTGTGTGTCGGGATGGCAGTGCCAGGAGTCGGGCCTGGCAGCTGCTCCCAGCATCCTGGAGTTCCGGCTCCATCCCGCTGGGGGTGGGGCTTGTGCCTGCCAGCTCCAGAGCCTACTGAGAGGGCCTTGTGCTGGCGGCCAGCCGGGTGGGGCAGGGCCCTTCCCAGGAGCCAGATGTCACACAGCCCTGCATCTGCTGACGGGCAGGGGGGAGATGGGCCGTGGCCTTGAAGTTTGGGGAGGACACCAGGTGACATGAGGCTGTTCCCAAGGGCCTGGAACCACCCCTGGAGTTCTGGCTGGTGCACCCCCTCCACCGGGTCCTCCAGGGCTCTGGGTGCAGAGCCCTATCCACAGGCCCGCGGCTCAGACCAGCCTGGAGCACCCTGTGTGGTCAGGACCCCTGTGGGTGGGAGGCAGATGGGGGTTTTCTCAGAGGGGAGGAGCCAGGACGCCAGAGTCCGGAAGTCCTTGCAGAAAGCAAGCTGGACAAACTGGGGCGGCCTGCTGGGGCAGGGAAGTGGGAGGGGCTGGGGCTGTGAGTCTTCCCCCTCCCAGGGTGCTGGCTGGGCTGTCCTGAGAGGTGGGCCGGCTTCCTTCACTGGGGCGTTCAGGCAGAGAGGTTGGGTGCTGTGGAGGTGACTCAGGCAGGGGGTCAGGGGGTGAGACTCGAAGCCTGAGTTTCTATGATTCTGTGGCCTGTCCTGTTTAAAACTTATTGAAAGTGGAGGTGAGCAGATCACCCTTAATCCGCATCACACAAAGACCCCTCCAGGCACGCAGCTCGGGCGGGCAGTCCCCTCGCAGGAGATCCCCGACCTTTCCTCACCGGCCTCAGTCCAGGAATCCCCAGCCATGCCCCTTGCGGTGGCAGCTGTGATGGGGCCGCTGGAGAGGGCCCGGGAGAAGGGAGAAGTGAGAACAAAGGCCCCCGCACACCAGGAAGCAACTTGCCCATCAGCTCGCTCCCCAGGTTCCAAAGGGGCTTTGATGCAGACCTCCTAAAGGGGGACAGCGGCAGCGGGCGAGGCCAGGGTCCCCCACTGTGCATGGCCCGTGGGGTTTGCCCGTGGCCACTCAGCCCCTCCCCGCCTCTGCCCCCAGGTCTTCGCCATAATAGTGTTCTCCTGCATCTTGGGCGAGGGCTACAGCAACACCCACGACTCCAGTCAGAGGTACTGCGTGTTCAACCGCAACGAGGACGCCTGCCGCTACGGCAGTGCCATCGGGGTGCTGGCCTTCCTGGCCTGCGCCTTCTTCCTCGTGGTCGACGTCTACTTCCCCCAGATCAGCAACGCCGTTGACCGCAAGTACCTGGTCATCAGCGACCTGCTCTTCTCAGGTACCTGCCCGTGGCACCTCCGTGGCTCCCGGGAGGTGAATAGGAGAGGGCGGTGTTCCCAAAAGCTCCAGGGTCCTGTGCGTACGGGGCCTCGGAGCCCCCTGGAGGGGAGCAGAGGCACAGGTCCCACTCGAGCAGACAGGCTCGTGCACAGGGTTGCTAACCATCCAAAACCCACTGGTGCTCAGTGACGAGCGTGGGGCTTTGGAGCCTGGCCTCCGGACATGCCACCCTGTCTCCACCCAGGCTTCTGCCTCAGTGCCCTTTCCATTCCTGGAGGCTTCTGGGAGATGCCTGCCTCCCCCGTGGGGCTGATGCTGCCCTCCTGGCTCTCTCCCCAGGTCTCTGGACCTTCCTGTGGTTCGTGGGCTTCTGCTTCCTCACCAACCAGTGGGCAGCCACCCAGCCGGGAGATGTGCTGGTGGGAGCAGACTCGGCCCGAGCAGCCATCACCTTCAGCTTCTTTTCCATCTTCTCCTGGGTAGGTGGGCCCAGTGATTGTCCCTGGTGAAGGGTGGGGGGGACTTTGAGAAGGGTGGTGGATTAACCTAGCCTTGGGACTCCCTGCAGAGCCTGCTGGCCTCCCTGGCCTACCAGCGCTACAAGGCCGGGGTAGACGACTTCCTCCAGAACTACGTGGACCCCACTCCAGACCCCAGCACGGCCTATGCCTCCTACCCAGGCCCCGCTGTGGACAACTACCAGCAGCCGCCTTTCACCCAGAATGCCGAGACCACTGAGGGCTACCAGCCACCCCCCGTGTACTGAGCCGCAGCAGGGATGGTAAAGGGCGCAGGGAGGGTGCCCGGGGGGCCACCCCTCAGTCCTGAACTCCTCCCACAAGGCGTGCCTCCTGGAGCTGCTGGCCCCTCTGGTCCTGCAGGACCTGTCCTGAGCCCACACACAGGCTGGAGAACCCCTGCCTCCCGTGCCCAGAGTGCCCATGCCCATGGGCTGCACCCACCCCTTCTCAAGGGCATTTTTTAGAAAATGGTTTTTAGCTAGACTTTTTTCATTGCTTTTCATGATCCCCAGCCTGTAGCTCTAAGTGCCTGACAGCTATCTGACAAGTGCCTTAGTTTGTCCCAAGCCCATAAGGAGCCAGGCCCCGGTGACCAGTGATTTGGGGTTCTCTGCCAAAGACGAGGTTGGGGGGCATCCCACTTGCTGTTGCTGGTGCGGGGCTGGGTCTCCCTTCCTCCTCACTCAGGTCTCTTCCCGCCCCTTGGCTCCTTTGTGCCCCCTCCCCCACCTGCCCTAGAGGGCAGGGTCTGCTCGCTCTTGGATCAAGGTCACTACTCTGTGCCAGTGCCTCTGGGCCTTCTTCCTGCCAGCCATGGGGCAGGGCTGGTGCCCACCCCAGGGGCCACTGGGCAACACTTTCTGCCCCGTGCTCCTGCCATCCCCCCGCTCCACCCCACAGTTGGGAGGGGCTTTGCCTGACAACACCCAGCTTTATGTAAATATTCTGCCACTCTTAGGTAGGTGGGGTGGGGTGTACCCACAGCCCCCAGGCTGTTCTGAATGTATTAAAAAGCTTTGGGGGAAGACATCCAGCCCCCTCAGATTCTGTTAGACTGGTTTTGAGATGGAATAAATGTTTTTCTCATTCATAATCTCGTCATTGGTTGGGCCTCAGTAGGAGAAAGAAGTTCCACTCTGGGGGTCACCCTGCACCCTGGGGGGGGGCGGGTACGGAACTGGCATTTTGAAAGAAGTTGTGTCACGCTGCCCCTCCAGGGTGTCTAGTGACCGCCCTCTCCCCGCCTGGGGTCTCATTCCTCACACCGCCTTCCATCAGCACCTTAAAATAGCAGCTGTGCTCAGCTTGTAAACAGGACGGGTTTCTGGGCCGCCTTGCCAGGGTCCTGCTGCGCCCTCGCTAGTTCTGGTGGAGGCACCTAGGTGCTGGCCCTCTGAATGCCCCTCTCCCAGCGACCCTCTCCTTCCCACCCTCACAGGAGAGGGGCACCCTGGTCAGGGCCAGGGTCCTCTACTTCCTACAGACAGGGCTCAGCACCCAGAAACCCTTCCCAGGCTGGACGTGGCAGGGAGCAGGCTTGGCCACCCAGCCCCCCTACCCCCTCGGGAGAGGCAAGGGCCCTGCTGCAGCTCCCAGCTTCCCTGTTGAGCAAGGACAGAAGTAGCTGTTAAAAGTGGGCCCCAATCATTTCAAAATCCCGAGTAAAAACCTGTAGGGGTCTGAGTTACAGGCTCACCACTGTGGGACACCCTGGTGTAACCCCGGCCCCTGACCCCACGTGCAGGGGGCACACCTGCAGCCCAGACCCGCCCCCACCCTGGCAAACTGCCTCCCCTGAGCCTCCCGAGGCACAGCTGAACTCACTTTCCTGGCTCCTGAATTGCCAAGTGTCTGTTTCACAAACAGAACCTGACCCCACAGCCCCAGCTGACAGCCCTGAGCATGGCCTCATCTTTCCGACTCGGGGGCCCAGGCTCCTCTGTTCACCCATTCTGTCCTACAACTCAGCTGGACAGGACAAGCAAATGCTTCGTGAAAACTTCTCAGTCAAAAGGGGTGGCGGCTGAGAGCAGCAGCACTAGGAAAAGATCGGGAAGGAACCCCCAGCCAGCCGGCTCTGCGTCTGCAGTGCAGCCTGGGGCATCCCAGGTGGTTAAAGAGAAACGGCTTCCACCAACGGGTCTGTTTTAGTGTTCGTTATTAACTTCACACACTACAACAGGAAAATCGGGGGCCCTGTCCCCGACTCCCCCTGCCTCACCCCCCTCTTAAAAGAGGAGCCACTCTCCCCTGGGACCTGAGCCCCAGCCCAGAACGTGTCACCCAGGGGACTGAAGCTGTAAATCTGGAGAAAGTCACTACGGGAGTGGGAAGGACTTGCAGCCCAGAGGGACGGAAGAAGGCCCAGGACCAGCCATCCCTGGACCCCAGGGGCCCACTCCAGGCAGAAGACGGAAGCCTTGTGTGGAATGAGACTCGGGGCTGAGCCAGGGCGGCTGCTGCTGGTCCGGGACTTGCCAGCGAGAACAGAAACTCGAGGTGAAAGCCGCAGAAGGGGAAGCTGCCAGCACCGGCGCTGATGTCACAACAGCATGTGGCCTGCCTGGCACCCCAAAGAAGAAGGAGC